TATATCTGAAAACATTGGTTGAGTAAGGGGTTAGGGAAATATCTAGGTCCATGTTATGTGGTAGATGTACTATTTCAACAGTGAACATGCCCATGAGCAATCCGTTCTAATGCAGCCCAGCAGGAAAATTATGCCACCTTTTAAAAACACACACATTTCAATTTCTTAAAGTATTGGAAGATTCATGCTGCTTTCATGGCTGATAAGGATTACTGTGGTTGTCAGACTGGAGAAGGATACATATTAATCATGAAGAGTTAGAGTATTATACCATGGACTCAACTACTTTCTGTCAAAAGTCAGTTTTATTCTCTATGTATAGAGAAGAAATGTGCATTTTATTGGAATCTGGGAAGAACTAGTTTTCTTTGGGATTCTGTTCATCATGATTTCACTGGAAATATATTTTGTTTGCTTGTTTTAGCACGTTACTTATACATTTTTTTAAAGATTTTATTTATTTATTTGAGAGAGAGAGCACGAGTGGGGAAGGTGGAGAGGAGCAGAGGGAGATGGAGAAGCGGGCTCCCCGCGGAGCAGGGAGCCCAATGCGGGGCTCCATCCCAGGACCCTGGGATCATGACCTGGGCCAAAGGCAGACGCTTAACTGACCGAGCCACCCAGGCGCCGCTGTTTTAGTACATACTTACTGAGCACTTGCTATAGGTCAAACCATTCTATGTGGTTTAACAAATCTTCACTCACTTAATTCTTATTACCATTTTATAAGGCAGGTAAAATTATTCCCATTTTATACTTGGGGAAACTGAAGCCCTGAGAGCTTGAGTAACCTCCTACATTCAGATAGCCAGCCTATGAGCTGCAAATTGAATCTGCAAGGATCCATATCTATAGTATGTGTTCATTGCCCCATTACATCCCCTTGTCCTTTTATTTCTTTAGCTATTGTGATATTCAAAGATTCGAAATATCTTAGGTATTAACTCAGAGGGTATTATGTTAATTGAAATGAGTCAGACTGAGAAAGACAAATACCATATGATTTCACTCATATGTGGAATCTAAAAAAACAAAACAAATTAATAAACGAAAAGCAGAATCAGACCTATGAATACAGAGAATAAACTGATAGTTGCCAGAGGGGAGGTGGGTGGTGGGATGGGCAAAATGAATGAAGGGAAGTAGGAGATACATACAGGCTTCCAGTTATGGAGTGAATAAGTCACAGGAATAAAAGGCACAGCATTAGGAACACAGTCAATGATACTGTAATAGTGATGTAACGGGACAGATGGTACCTACACTTAGTGGTGAGCATAACATAATGTTTAAACTTGTCCAATCACGATGTTGTACACCTGAAACTAATGTAACATTGCATTTCAACTATACTCAAAAAAATTTTTTAAAAATTTGGAATGGATAAAAGAGTAACAGAAATTAAAAAAAAAAAACTGCGTCAAAAGGAAAATAGAAAAGATTCTAAGTATCTTTATTAGCTCCAGAGCCAACACTAGAGCATGAAAAATTGGAGAAAAAATAGCTTCAGGTTCCATCCAGTTCAATGTGAACTAAAAGTATAGCATAAGTGCTAAAAAGTATGTTTTTAATCTTAGGCTACCTGAATAGTATCCGCATAACAGTGATCGTTTAGCTCAGGTGGCTCCTGTATTACTTGGATCACAACTGGATTCTGACTAAGATGGTTGTTTCAGCACCCATTAGCTACACCTATATTTTGTTAGGTCCTGAGCCATGTAGTGTAGGGGTGCTACCTAGAAGAATGGTAGCATACCCTGAAGGTATATGAACATGGAAAATGGGGGCAAAAAGCGTGGTGGGGATAAGTAGTGTTGGCACAATAGCGATTTTTAAATACTGGAATGCCATACAGCATAGGGAGTAAACTTGTCCACACTTACTCTGGAATTGAAGGGCAAAATAACAGGAAGAAAGTGTAGGCTTCACAGACATTTAAATTCTTTAGAGCTGATCAACAGTATCACTGGAAGTGTTCCAGGTGGAAAATCACCTGATTTGGGGCCATGGCTGAAGGTGATGCAGAGGGTATTGCTGCATGGGTCAGGTCAGGCGTGGTCACATTAGCTACATTTCTTCCAACCTTAAGATTGTATGGCTTTTTAGGAAAGAGCCTGCATAGGACTTAGAATTTTAAAACACGATATAAATTCCTGAGAACCCCTTTTGCCAGATTCATCTTTCTTAGTGCTCACCATGTGATGACCTGTCATGTACCTTAAATGACAGCCTGTGAGGCTTCCTAAAATCAGCTTTCACTTCCAAAAATTGGAGAGCTACAATAAAGGTCAAGGTCAGTAGAATATTCCAGTACAGGGCTTTTCAACTTCGGAACTATTGACATTTTGGGCTGGATAATTCTTTGTTTGGGGGGTCATCATGGGATATTTAACAGTATCCCTGGCCTTGATCCATAAAATGCCAGTATCTTTCTCCCCCGGTTCCCTCAAGTAATAACAACCAAAAATGCCTCTAGATATTGCCAAATGTCCAGTGGGGAACAAAATTGTCCCAGATTGAGAACCAGTACCACAGTATTATTAAATAACTAGGTATTATAGATTTTTAAAATCTGTGAAAAATATTAAACATAACCAAGAAGGAGAAAATGAGTAAGAAGCTAAAATGTATGCATAATTCTGACTTTAGTAATTCAAGACTGTGTTGTTAAAGCCAACACTATTAAATGTAATTTCACTCTATATTTCATGGGAGTATATTAAGAAAAAAATTTTAATTCTTTGAATCACTAAGAACTTTTTTTTTTTTAATTCAGCATTCAAATAGATATGTCTTCAGTGTTGCTTAAATGATTCAATTCATTCAAACTCCTTAAATCATGCTTGGTACATAATAATCAATACATGAGAATTTGAAAATATTCAAACTTCCAGTGAGCAAGTTTATGTATACTCCTTTTAATGATACATGTGATAGTGAAGAATATTATGTCTTGGGGTGCTGGGTGGCTCAGTCGGTTAAGCATCTGCCTTTGGCTCAGGTCACAATCCCGGAGTCCCAGGACTGAGCCCCGAACCCCGCGTCAGGCTCTCTGCTTGGCAGGGAGTCTGCTTCTCCCAACCCCTCTGATCCTCCCAGCTCTCGTGCTCTCTCTCCCTCTCTTATAAATAAATAAAATCTTTTTTAAAAAAAGAATATTATGCCTTGCTATTTACTATAATATATGGTTTGTGTTTCAGAGGCACATGTGATATTGGATAAGTACCTAATACATATTTGTGTGTAAATTAATTGAATAGATGTGTAAATAAATGAATGGATATCTTTTATTTTTATCAGTATACCGGTAGATACATACCAAATCTTTACTATATGCAAAGAATAATAGGTTTTATATTTGCAAAATATTTGATAAAATGCTTATCTGAGATAACTTAAAAGGAAGACAATGTCTCTAATGAGTCTGTTCAGGTAAACAGGTTGGACAACAGAATAGTAGTAACATGGATTAAATGTTATTTATAGGACTGAAATTTGGAAAGAAATATGTTCAGAAAGAAGTAGCAAATTTTCTAGCAGGAATAAAAAGGACATAGAGGGTTCAGGAATCTAGTATTGTCAATTTGGAAAGGAAACTTCTCAACACAACTGAATAAAACTTGGGTTCTACAGAATGGATCAAATAAAGGGTGTAAGTCTTCACGTTGTTAAATTCTTTAAGTTTAGGTGCTCAGTAATAGCTCAAGGAGAAAAGGTAAAAGTTTTAGTCATGTTGTGAACACCTTAGAGGTTCAAGATACCTCTAATTAAATCTAGAGAAAGGCATGTATCTAAAAGAATTATAGCACGTGAAGTTGACTATTATTAAATAGATAACACAACTAAGTTTTCTTTTTAAGATTTTATTTATTTGAGAGAGAGAGAGTGAGAGAGAGAGAGAGCTCGAGTGAGCAGGGGAGGGGCAGAAAGAGAAGGAGAGAGAGAATCTCAAGTCGACACCCGCTGAGTGCAGAGCCCAACTCTGGGCTTCATCTCAAGACCTTAAGATCATGACTTGAGCCGAAATCGAGAGTTGGAGGCTTAACCGACTAAACCACCTAGGTGCCCCAGAGTAGAACTAAGATTTTTTTATTTTTTATTTTATTTATTTATTTATTTATTTATTTATTTATTTATTTATTTATATTAATGTATAATGTATTATTTGTTTCAGGGGTTACAGGTCTGTGATTCCTCAGTCTGACACAATTCACAGTGCTCACCATAGCACATACCTCCCCAGTGTCCATCACCCAGCCACCCCATCCCTCCCGCCCCCCTCCACTCCAGCAGCCCTAGTTTTTAAAAGAGTTAAAAGAGTTAGTATACTGACTAAAATATTAACAGTCTGAACTAAAAAAAGAGTATGACTATTAAATACTTAAAATGGACTTTGGGACCTCAGTCTTCTAGAGACAGGAGGCCAACTGAGAAATCTGCCCAGTTCCAGAGATATAGCCATGGAGTCAAGGAATAAGAGTGTCCAGTCACCTGAAGAAGCTCCTCTGAGGGCGTAGACTAGGAGCCTAATGAAGGACCACTTCCCCCAACCCACTTCCAAGGGTAGGGGTTCCTTAGCACCAGAATGGGGCTGTTTGGTCACTATTATGTTTTCTCTCATTCATTACTTATATAGTGTTTATTAGGGATAGATAACTTTTCTTTTTCTCTGATTTTCAAATCAAGAAAAAACACACTGGACTTAATACAAATTATTTCAAAGCACTGGACTTGGAGCTGACTAAAAAATCAGATGGAGCTTTTGGGTGTTCTTTCTCCTAGGAGAAGTAAGTATATATTGCATGTGGAAAGGACAGTGACCTGAATATTTATGACTCAAAGGGTAGGTTCTCTTAGTCACTAGGGCTATTCACAGATGTTCAGTATTTTATTCCAGACATGTGCTATGATTGGACTTACCTGCCACTTCAAGTCAGATATTCCTTGTGGCTTGCTTTGGCCAATAAAACATAAATGGAATTGCTGTGTGTCACTTCCAGGCAGAAGTATTAAATCCCAGAACGTGCATGCCGTATTCTCTTACACTTAATTGTGTGATCATGGAAGCTTGTGTCGAGATGGTGCCGCCATCAACCTTGCCAACCCACAGAGGGCGTGTAGCACGGTTAAGGAGTAAGTTTCACTCTTCCAAACCACTGAAAGCTTTCTAATTGTTGGTTTTCACAGCATAACCCAATATGTTCTGATGGACACCTCTATGAATTTCTTTTAAGATCTATGAAGTCATTGAATGTTTTTACAAAATTCTATAAAAATCTACTTGTAATGTAATAAAATTAGTTAAGATATAAATAAAAGCTAAAAAAGAGAACGTAAATAAAAACTACATTTTCTTTCACATTTTTTGAATTACTTCCATTCTAATTTCTTTTCAGGATTATTTCTAGTGATTATTGAATTATAAACATTTTTGCCAACATTTTTAAAGACTGCAAAAACTTGTAACAATATAGAATATAGAATCTGGCTTTCTCTAAAGTCCCACAAATTCCATAATGCATTAATAATCATTATTGAAAATAATTTTAGAACATTAAGGCAATTTTTAACTGATTCTTTTTCACCTCATTAGGCATATTGAATCTTTATTCTACTGCGTAACTGGAGGATTAATCCAGTCTTATTCCCCATTTCCAAACACATACTCAGTAGAAGCCTGTCAGTTACCTCGCTCCTCCTTTCCAAGCAGAAGTATAGAAATGATTATTCCGGAACCACGTGGACAAAGTGCGTTGCCTACGAGTCTTAACTCCCAGGGTGTTATGGCACGAAGTTAATTAAGGTTTTAAAAACACAAATTTCCTGATGGTTTTATTATTCCATTGTCTTTGGTAAAATGGCAGGAAATGCTACTTTATTAAATACGGTTCACAATACAATCGACTTTTAATTCCTTTTTAAAAAATTTTGCCAAGAATTTAAGAATGTGCTGCACAGTAGTTATATCTACAAAAATGATTTCATCAAAAGTGGGTGGGGAGAGGGTAGTGAATTCAGTCAAAAATCTGATTAGAAACAGAAATAATCAGTTTATCAGAGGGAATTAATTTGGGTATGCTTCTCCCTCATTTTATTTTAGAGCTTTTGGTACTGCAATAAAACATACAGAATTTTCTATTTCAAGATCAGTATTAGTTTTCTCTAATATGTCTAACCACAAAGAATTCTTTCCTCTCAGTAGGTCTATGAAATGTTATTTTGTTTAAGTCATCTGATTAAAAAGAAAATGATGTAAATGAACCCTGGAAGTAAGTGTAGAAATAAAATACCCTTGTGATGCCATTCCAAAAAATGCAACATATAAATTTGTCATTAAATTAAAGGGCATAATGCCCTTAAATTTATAGAAAAGGTTAAGACTTAAGGAAAAGCTTGCTTTAGAGGTCTGGAGTGTTATTTCAGAAAATGTCTTGTGAGTGAATCTTAACAGAGTGATATTAAAGGCACAATGAGTGGAAGGTGAGTCAAGGTAGCAATATCTAGAAAGGCGTCAGGAGACAATACTCTGTTGATTTTCACACTGCCCATATTTAAAATTTAGACAGTCATATTTTGTGTCTATAATTTTAAATGACACTTTAAATTAACTTCATAAATACATGCTTGATTTATACATTTTACACTAAGCAATTTCTTTCTTGTTTTTTCTTCAAGGTACATTTTCCTCCAAATTCTGAGGGCTGGGTTCTGAGCCTCCCGTTTCCTTAGGTTGTATCATAAATTCAACCAGTCTTGGACATGCCATGGATGTCAAGGGACTGGCTCTGCTTATAGTGCCTTTCTTTTTCTGTCTGGTGAATGCCTAGTTATTCTTCACAACTCTATTTACATTCCAACTCAATAAAACCTTTCATAATCCCCTCAGGCGGTAACTTGATATTTCTTCTGTGATCCCATGATATTTTGTTCACAGTACTTTTATAACTTCACATGTTATTACAACCCATCTATTTAGACATCTCTTACACTGTGAGAACTTTGAGGGTAATTACTGAGTCTTTCTTCTCTATGATCCAAATACTTAAAATAGTGTCAGCCACATGATAGGATTCATGTTGGTTAGAGGAATGGATGATTCTTTTTTTTTTTTTAAGATTTTATTTATTTGCGAGAGAGAGAATGAGAGACAGAGAGCATGAGAGGGAGAAGGGTCAGAGGGAGAAGCAGACTCCCCGCTGAGCGGGGAGCCCGATATGGGACTCGATCCCAGGACTCCAGGATCATGACCTGAGCCGAAGGCAGTCACCCAACCAACTGAGCCACCCAGGCGCCCCGGAATGGATGATTCTATAAATACCCATTTTTATTGTAGTGAAGGCTGGTAATCATTCTCCAACATCTTGCCTTCTGCCTTTAGAAATAGACACCAATCCCTGAGTTTTAGCTGAGCATATGGTTGCTCAGTTAGAAAAAAAATGTCTCCTTATCTGTGGGTTATTCATGTGATAAGCTCTTACCAATGGTTTTCGAGCACAAGTGAAGTGTGCAACTTTCCATGCCTTTCCCTAAAAGGAAGTGATGTATCTTCTACTTATTTTCATTACCTTATCCACAGCCTAAGTATCAGATGTGGTGCCATTTGGGCCACTTTGGCATGCAGACAAGGACTACACCTGAGGGAGAGGGAGAAACGCTTTTGGAAGAAACTGGATACGTAGAAGACTTCATGAAACACACCCACCTTCCCACGATGTACTGTCTACTGCCTCTTGAACTGTGACGAGAGAAATAAACATCTATGCTATTTGAAACATAACTATTGGAATTGCTTTGTTATAGAAGCTTAACCTATACAACCCCTTCCGCTACTATCCTACATTCCACGTGATATATCTGCCCTTTAAGCAGGAAATTAGTCCCATGGCAGTTCCCTTCAGCATCTTTCAGACCTGATGAATGCTGTCATGCCCAGTCTAGCTGCAGTGACTCCCACTAGCACAGGGTGAGCGACGATCCCAGGAACCCTCGCCAGCACCTGATGGCAGTACAACTCCAGACAGCAGTAGCAGCTCTAGACACTTCCCTAGCCAGGACCAGCGGCTCCAGCGGCTCCCAATAGTTGCTTCTCTCGGCAGCTCTCCCAGAGTTTTTCAAGTCTGTTCCTTTGTCACCAGATAGCTGTTATCCTCTCAGCATCTAAATGACTGTATCTAGTGGTGCGTTAAAAATACTTAACTAGCTCTCTCTCTCTCTAAAAAAGAAAAAGCTCCTGTTTATTTGCTGATTTCCACATGTAAATATGTAAATACTCACAGCATGGCCAATTTCATGCCAGCAATGTGACATTACCGATGTGGAAAATGTGGAGCTGAGAAGAGCTGCACCCACTTGGCTTTGCGATATGGTGAGAGCAGTCTCCAACACACCACTGACTAGCTACTGTGCAAAACAAACCATCCAAACTTAACAGCTTAAAACGAAAATTTGTTCTTCGCTTCCTGAGAGTAAATTTGTCTGGGAGCACTGTGTGGTTCCTCTGCTGTGTTCTCCTGGAGCCGCTCATGTGGTGGGAGTCAATTGGTATCTCAATAGGGACTAGATGGACTGAGATGCCTTCCCTCACTTGTCTGGTAGCTGATGTTCACTTTAAGCTAGGATACTTTGAGTCTCCTGCCGTGAATTCTCATGCTATAGTGAGCTAGTGTAGGTCTTTACCTGGTGATTCCTGGACACATTTTTAAGAGGATGATAAAAGTAACTTCAGTGGTCAATTAAGACTTTGCTCTGAAGTCCCATATTTTTCCTCTACTTGCATTCTGTTAGTCAATGAAAACAAGTCATAGGCCATCTCAAATTCAACACAATAAACCATTTTGATTAGACAAGAGAGGTTAATTGGTAACCTTTTTCCTTTGCATTTATAATCCCAATTGGTATTTGAAACTATAGTCACACAATTAGGATGATTACTATAAATTAAAAACAAATAAATCAGAGAATAACAAGTGTTGATAAGGATGTAAAGAAATTGGACCTCTTGGGCGCCTGGGTGGCTCAGTCGTTAAGCGTCTGCCTTCGGCTCAGGTCATGATCCCAGGGTCCTGAGATCGAGTCCCACATCGGGCTCCCTGCTCTGCGGGAAGCCTGCTTCTCCCTCTCCCACTCCCCCTGCTTGTGTTCCTGCTCTCACTATGTCTGTCTGTCAAATAAATAAATAAAATCTTTAAAAAAAAAAAAGAAATTGGACCTCTTGTGCACCGTTGGTGGGAATGTAGAATGGTGCAGCCACTGTGGAAAGCAGTATGGCAGTTCCTCAAAAAATTAAACAGAATTACAACATTATCCAATAAATCCACTATTGAGTATATACCCCCCAAAACTGAAAGTAGGAACTTGAAGAGATATTTGTTCATCCATGTTCATAGCAGCATTATTCCCAATAGCCAAAAGGTGGAGGCAACCTAAGTATTGATGGGAAGGAAATTTGGACACACATTACAACATGGATGAAACTTGAGGACATTATGCTAAGTGAAATAAGCCAGTCATAAAAGGACAAATATTGTTTGATTTCACTTACATGAGTTACCTAGAGTAGTCAAATTCATGGAGACAAAGGTAGAATGGTGTTTACCAGGGGCTATACCAGAGAGTTATTGTTCAATAAGTGTAGAGTTTTTTTAGTTTTGCAAGACAAAAAGAGCTCTGGAAATTGGCTGTGCAACAATGTGAATGTACTTAACACTACTGAACTATATACTTAAAAATAGTTAAGATGGTAAATTTTATGGGTTTTTTTATTTTTCCATAATTAAAAAAACACACAGCCACAAATTCTTTAACAACCATTGAGAGGTAGGCTCTCTGTTCCTTGCCCTTGAATGTTGGTGGGCTTTTGACTCTCTTGAAGCCAATAGAATGAGGCAGAAGAGTGATGCATGAATTGTGATGCCTTGTCCGAGAAGGCAATACAAATTCTGCCTTGTGTGCTGGGACACTTGCTCGTGGAGTCCTGAGCTGCCATATAAGAACTCTGGTGACCTTATGGCCACCATGCATGGTGGGAAAGCTAAGGTACATGAGAAGTGATGGCTAGTGCAATTAACATTCAGAAAACAGCATCTACTAAACAACATTTAAGTGAAGATGGCTCTAGATTGTATTCCCCAGATGTAGTTACACTCAGCTCATTGAGTCTTCCTAGCTGAAGCCCCAGACATTAAAAAAAAAAAAAAAAAGGCAAACCATTTCTCACAAAGCCTGCCCCAAAGTCCTGACCCATAGATTCAGTGAGCTTGATAAAATATTTTTGGGCCTTTAAGTTTTTTTAAACTTCATTTAATAACTTCATTAATAGCTTCATTGAGGTATAATTCACACACCATAAAATTCATTCTTTAAAGGGCATAATTCAGGGATTTTTTTTTTTAATTCAGGGATTTTTAATTTGCTTGCAGAGTTGTGCAACTATCTCCTCTAATTTTAGAACATTTCGTCATCCCAAGAGAAACTATACCAATTAGCCGTCACTCCCCATTCCCTACTCCAGTTCTACTCTATGGATTTGCCTATACTGGAAATGTTATGTAAATGGCATCATACTATATATGGCCTTTTGTGTCTGGCTTCTTCCACTTAGAATGAGGTTCTCAAGATTCATCCATGTTGTAACATGTATCAGTATTTAATTCCTTTATGTTGCTGGATAATATTCCATTGCATGAATATACCACATCTTGTTTATCCAATCATTAGTTCATGGACATTCTGGTTTTTCATTTTTTGGTTATTATGAATAATGATTTTATAAATATTCACATACAAGGTTTTGCATGAACGCAGGTTTTCAATTCTCTTGGACTTATACCCATGAGGGGAACTGCATGGTCATATGGTAACTCTACATTTATCATTTTGAGGAACTGCCAAAATGTTTTCCTAAGTGGCTTCCCAGTTTTACAATTCCACTAGTAATGTTGATGAGTTTCAATTTGTCAATATCCTTGCTAATGCTTGTTTTTATCTGTCTTATTTTAGCTATCTGAGTGGGTGTAAAATAGCGTGTCATTGTGGTTTTGATTTGCATTTCCCTAATGACTAATGAAATGAGCATCTTTTCATGTGCTTATTGGCAACTTGTATGTCTTTTTTAAGAGAAATATCTATTTAACTTTGCCCATTTTTTCACTGGGCTACTTATCTTTTTGTTATTGAGTTGTAAGAGTTCTTAGGATATTCTGGATACAAATCTCCTATCAAGATATATGATTTGCAAATATTTTCTCCCATTGTATGAACTGTCTTTTCACTTTCTTGATGGTGTCCTTTGAAGCATGCAGTTCAAGGCTGACAGTTTTAATATTTCATCTTAACCCTCTGTTGATATGCACAATGCTAGGAGGCCATATGATCACATAAATAATTAGATTGACAAAAGTTTTGATTCTGAACAACTTCACAGAAGGGGATAATTTCCTTTATCTATTCTTCAAAATGGTAAAATTATATCCTTATTAACACTACATCTAAACTATTGGCTTTGATAAATTATAGAGGTATATAAATTACTAAAGCCTTTGCTTTCTATCTTCTGTAAAAGTGCAATGATAAGGATTTGGGGTAAATATGTTTCCCCTAGTGGAAGATAAATTTGTATGTGATGTCTTAATAATGCAATGTGAAATATTACTTTATAAAAGAAGACTTCAGAAAATATTTTAGATTAAAAGGTCCCAGCCTGAGCAGAAGGAGGGAGATGGTTTAGTTACTCTCCTCGGTCTCTTCTTTTTACTACAAGTGATGTGTGCTAAGCAGGCCTGTCCATTTAAAGAAGTTTCCTCTATCAGACAGCTGACATTCAAATAAAGAAATTAGACATTCCATAAAAGACAAATTTGTAATATATGTTGTTTCATAAAAAAACAATAGATACATGAATATTATTTTTACTATAAATTACAATGAATTTGAGAATTCACAAAATTTGGAATGTTGCATCTTTGCCGTGGATTCAGATTTCCACCAATGAGAAGCCATGTACTGTTTCTTACCTAATTATCTAATGTATCTAAAGGCCCCACATAATTTGGCTTTATTTTGGCATTAAAATTTAATAAATCTCACTTATACTGGAATTCAATCTTTCTCAAAATGAGATAGATATAGTATGTTATAATCTTGATGAAGTTTCAGATCTATCCATTAACATTTCATAATCTAATAATAATACTAATTCAACTAGAGAAGCGAAATTTAAAGTATTTCAACTCCTGCAGGAATCTAGGACATTAAAACAATCTAATGAGGTTAACTGCTTAGATAATGGAAGAAGCACTTTTAATTCTATACCAACTGTTGACAAAAGTGTATTAATAATACCTAATGTCTAACTGAAGTCAGTCACAACTTCAGGTATTTCTCTGTTGCTCTCTGATAGGTTAGGAGCCAGTGTTTACTACCACTTTATGGGACCATTCTTTAATACTTCCTGTCATGTGGAATGTAATAGCTGTAGTTATGATCAATAATTCCATAAACCTAATAAAAAATTCTATTTCTCAAGAATTCTATTGGGAATGTATTTTTCCTTATACAGATAATAACCCTGACATTAAAGTGAAGTTTTATTTTACTCTATTTAAATAAACAGGATCAGCTCAGCCAAATGTATCTTCAAAATCAAATTTTAAGATGACATTTTTACTAACTAATTAAAACAGCTGTATCATTGAATCAAATGGGCAATCTTAAAACTGTGTAATATAAGAAAATGTTCCTTTAGTACCAAGAACAGACCACTTACTAAATTGTCCCACAAATTATAATCAAAACATGCAAAATAAAAAATAAAGTCAGGAACACAGATTTTCTGAGTGCTAGCCCAGTTGCTGTCAGGTAGCTAAAATAGTATTTTATTGACTAAGATTTTCATTTTCTGCTCTGGTATGTGACATTGTCTCTATGAATTTGGGGCTATGTGCTGCTGAGAATTTGCCACAATCAGTTTAATACAAGTATGTCTTCAGAATTTTTTTAGCAAAAAACTATGATCTCTGAACCAAATATGTAGGGT